ACGCGTGACGCTTTCATGAATAAATACACATGTGTCCGAGAATTAATCTTTCGTTTTTTTCAAGATATGAGCTTGGAACGCCTCTCCTCAAACTTCTTAATTGCAAGCGCAAAAAATAAACCTCAAGAAACCTCACCCCAGCACCCCGGGGTTGTAAGAGTGCATGTAAACGCGTTTTATTTTTCGACCACGGCCAGGCGGGTTACCTCACCTACCTGGAGTCCCCCGCCTCCGTGTAAACAGGCCCTAAGAGCGGATCTGGATGACAAAAAGCGATGGACATAACAGTAGAGTGCACATTAAGCTAGAGATCAAATATCAATTATTTTTACTCAGTGCGTGAGCGGGCGGTGTTCTATAAATCTTGCGATCTGATTGGTACCGAGAGTGGGAGTACTCTTCCATCCGGCCCGCTCACAGCGGGTGGTATCCGATCCGTTGCGTGTTGAGTCACTAAGTACGCCTAACAGCAGTTATAATCAAATATTTCGGTCAAAAATTTTGCCGATGAACAATACCTCAATTCTCTCCTCTCTCTCGCTCTTTCTCAAATCAGTTTAGATTCTTTTAAAAAATTGGTTTCGAAATGAATTTTCGTGGTAGCAAATTATGAGTTATTAAACGATTGACAAGCGGCCTAAATACCGTTTGTAATTCAATAATCCTTTGCAAAAAGCAATTTGGAAAATAAAAACGTGAGGTACTCGTCCACAGTTATAATCAATCAAATTTACTATCTGAAATCGTCAAAATGGTTTGTTCATTTTAAACGCCAAGCGATGTTTTGAGTTTTGATTTGCACACGACGTTTCAGCAAACAAACGAACAGACTCCCACAACTTCAAAGCATACTTTGGAATCTGCTTACACTGACTATCTTTGTCACCTAAAACTGAAAATAGAATTAATCGCTGATGGAAGTGACTAATACTTTCCTTAAGATCACTGATTGCTTTGAGGAAAACATCGTTGTGATAGTCATGTTTCAAAGATTGTTTGGTGGCCTGTTAAATTTAACCTTTAGCTCTTGACGCAAATAAAACTGTCTAGCCTAAAAAAGGTAAAGAGGAGTGATAGAAACGGCATTTGAGACGTTTATGTGAAAACGACCCTGAAAACATTATTGTAAAAGTACTAGAAACGCAGTTTCACGTATTTACGCTCAAGAATTTTCGTAATTATGCCGGAATTATGCTCCATCCTCTCTGACTAAAGCAGTATACCCATTATTATGACGGCATAATTTATCTGAGTCTATCTGTGACAGTCCAACGGTTTCAATTAAGGTCTTTCTCATTATTTTGCTTGTCACAAACAGTTCTAGATCTCGAGAACTTCTTGGATCTGAAGACTGAAAAGCCAGTCTTCAAATGTTTCCAAATATACTCACTTACAAGTCATTATCAGTATTATAATTTTCGCCCAAAACATAATACTCTTGCAATGTTAAATGGCTTATTCATTGAAAATGGTTGGGAAACACACCATCCTCTCGCTCTATAGAATTTTTCCTGCGCTTAGCATATGAGAGAATCGCCCGGAGTGGGTGTATATCATCCTCATTGCGAATAGCGTGACTCATGTCTCTGGGATATTAAAATGAAAGGTTATGCAATCCTGATTTATTGAATTTTCCTAACCCTTGGCTAGTCTCCAAAACCGAAACAGTCATGACGGACAAATTTCAAGAATGAGCAAGGTTCTTTTTGCAGGATTGCTGATTTGAGCAAACAAGAAACTCCAAATAATATTTCGCTGAGGATGGCTATCAACCAGCCACAATTTAAAAACCAAGCATCATTGTATTATGAAGGACAATGGAGTTGCCGTTTTGGATTCTCTATTCTACAACTTCAAATCGCTTCCGTCCGATTGTGTCGCTAGATAAATAGTTATCGATAAAATTGTGAGAAAGACTTGCTTAAATGTAATTAAATGGCGCATACTCTGACCTTTAAAACCCGGTCTGACATTTCAATGGATCTCATTTTGGAGAGATAAATCAGCTATATATCGGACGAAAATTACTTTTCCGCTGTACAGTAAATCACCTCAGTTGAGTGTCTCTCCCGTTAAGTGTGCTAAAGTAATTTGTTGCCCCGCTTTGGGTTATTTTCTTTATGCTTATAAGATCGATCTTAATTTGACCCCCTCTCTAGGACATTTTTTATTTCATTGCAGCACAAACGATGTTCACATTAACCATGAAGCGCACCTTTTCGTGTGGTCAGTTGAAGTTATTTAAGTTAAGAAGCCTTTTCCACTGGTTAATACAAAATGATCGAGTTCTGAAGTTGTCGGATACACCGTTCTGTGGAGCTTGAACCATTTTTAAGGCTAACATCGTTCTAGACAGATTTTAAATGTAAATTTTTAACAGTATTGCACAACGGTCTCAGATCCGAAGATAGTGGACACATAACAAACGGACGGTATGATTACCATATCTAGTAAAGTCATATCCAGTGAATGGCAACAATCAGTGATCGATTCCGGCAATAAAACTTGACTCTAGAAACTGCTTAATTCCGTAAAAGTTGTCTTTTTGATATGCCTTATACACGACAAAAAGGAAATAGGATACCTTGTTTATCGATTTTTCTCACCTTTATGAAACCTGGAATAAGAGCCAACTCTTTTTCACAAAAAATGGAGCGTTATTTTTCAGTCAAATCTAACCATCGCGATTCAGCAATCCAGAACAACGATCAGACTCTAACCTTTTTCCCACCCCAGCCCCATATGAGCTGATAAGAAAACCGTACCGGCGCACGACGTTTTCTAGCTGATGAATTCATACTTGCGCGTAGATCATAATACTTGGATCATGCAGTATCAACGTTTTTAAAAAAAGTTCAAGGTGTGATTGCTACGAAGACGTCGATAAGCTTCTCCTGTTAAAAACATCAAAATTCATTTGGGGCACAGGCATCCCAAGCTATCGATCTGTGGTATTAAGTTACAATAAAAAAATGATAATCCTTTATTCACAATGATCTCTAAAAATATTTACAAAAGAAAAACTAACGGATACACGCTTCGTTTAGGTTTACTTCTTGAACTTAAAAA